GAAGCCCATGTATGAAAGTGTAGAGAAATGATTATTATGAAAAGAGTGGGTACATTCGACTAGTGCAGAGCTTGGGTTGGCTATAACCCTTGAGTACATAAAAACTTAAGGATAGTGTTCGATGATTATATTACTGATAATGACCGCGGAGACGAATGTTCAAACAATAAAGATGTCGATTTCATTGGGCTTTGCTCTCGACTGTCGGAATATCACCGGCATTCGTCAATATTCGTCAGTAAGCAAGGTAATGAGAAAGATGTGCTCACGAATGCGATGATCCGCTCATCGTCGATCATGAGATCCGAATACTTGAACGCCTCATATGTGGCAATTTGCCGGTATGGAAGCGCGGTGGTAACTTCCTCCTTGAACAGGGCTCCCGCGGCAATGGTCCTGGGCATATGCTGGGGGTGCGCATGCGCCGTGGCCGACAAGAGGGTCTTGTCCTTCCCTCTTCGAAACCCGACTGTGTTGAAATCCAACATGAAGAGGGACCCATTCTCCAACAAGGTCATGTAGCGCTGCCCGTGTAAATGGCCCACCCTCTTTGGGGTGGCTCTCTGCGCCGTCCACTGGTTGTTGGGAAACGTAGTGACCATCCGTGTTCCCTCGCTCCAGCGATCCCAAGAAATGATCGCGTGGCGGAGGCTGGTGTCGGAGAACTGAACCAGATGGCGCGCGTGAACAAAGAGAGACATGCGGCGCATCGCCGCGGGCGCTGTGCGAAAACCGGGCTTCTTGACTGTTATAGTGAGGTGGAGAAGCTGGTGCTCGAACGCGGGAACAGACGTCCGGGCGTCGTGGGTCCAGTCGTTGTGATTGGCGAGCGTGGTGGGGGTCATTTGGCTGCTGGGGGCACAGTCTGTTGTAAACGTCACATGTGTGAATGCGAAAGGCCGGGCGAGTATGGGGAGCTGGAATTCGGCCAGGAGCCGGGGTCTTGATTCCCGCATCCCCAGCCGACCACCTTCGGTGAAGGAGAGCAGCTGGAGAGACGCGACGCCAGTTCCGGGGTGCACAGAGGTAATGACGATCAATTTTTCAGACACGAAAACGAACGATTGTAGCTGGCTCCGAGGCATGCGAAGGACCTGTTGCGGTTGTGAGGTTGTGCGTGTGAGGATGCAACGAGTTCATTCAAGAGTGACTTCACTAACAGATATTTTAGTGCCCTTTCTCCAATTCCATAGAACCAGCTCGTTGTCATCGCCCAGTGTATGGAGAGCGCCTACATGCGACCCAAAAACACGAGTTTTGATGGTAGGCATTTTGGGAGAGCGAAACTCGTGCTCAAGATACCCCACGTTGGTGCGGAACTCTGGGTGGGTCTTGATAGCTGATAACGAAAACAGGTGCAGCCGAACAGAACAAGTCTGGAGAAGCCTAGAGATACAACTTAGATGGTTCCTCGGGCCACAAAAAGAGAGGAGTCCTTACCCAGCGTCGGCTTTGATCTCCATCATAATGAGTAGATCTTGGCCAGCGTCCATAAGAACATCAAATAAGTTACCCCTCAACTCAGGACTTCTCCAAGAGCTTGCGCAGTCGTAGTGGTTGCGAGTGGGGAGGTGGGTAAAAGAGAGCACATTGGTGTTATGGGGGGTGGTAATGAGCTGGCACAAAATACCGCCAGAGGTGCGGATGTCGAAGCATCCGGGCAGTAGTGTGATTTTCATTTTTCCGCTCCAGGTCAGGTTCCACCAGCCTTCCTGTAGCCGCCTGTGGGACTGGAATATATCGTCGCCGGTGCGCTCTCCCGGCCATGCGTCGATAAACCCGGATGCCAAAAGGTCGATTCGGTGTTTGAGAATGGGATCGACGCGGAATGCGCGTAGAAAATTTTTGCAAACCTGCAGCGCGCAGCATGTGTGAGCGTCAGTACAGCGGTATGCGCCAGTGGCGCCACGCGATCGTAGGGGCCGTGAAGATGAGGCGGAGACAAACTCACGAGTGTGCAAGTTAACAGCTCTTGAGGGGTCAAGTAATAAAATATGCGCCGAAGAACCAGCTTCGGGAATGTAGAGACCATGGTATGCAGTGAGAGGGAGCGGTTTAGAGATGAGTGATGTTGGATGGGAGCGGTATCTCGCTTCCTCCTGCACTATATACTTATCAGAAGTGTACCGCTTCGACCCACGGCAGGCCAGGTAAGGCCTAGGCGCTGAAAGGGGAGAGTGTTGGAACCCCGAAAGAGCTGGGGCTGGCCAGCGACGGCCTGCCCAAGGCTGGCGGTTGCTGCTGCAATCCTCACCAAGGTTACTTTGAACGGCCTCGGAAGTTCCCCTATGGAAATCAAAGCGGAGAACGAGTCTGTATACGCCACTATTGGCCCTTGCGCATTCGTGCGTGTCCAGATTTGGCGTTGTCGATCAAACGAGATACACGGACTCAAACCAAGGCTAAGCATAGCCACCCAGAGGTTGCAGATCCAACGGCAACAAATTTACATCGACGCTTTGACTGGCGCGTCGCGATGAGCGCCCGTTTCGTTTGCCAAGTCGCGGTGGAAGCTTGAAGTCGCGCCGAAGTTGCTATAGCCTTCGGAGCGTCGGCATGCAATCAAAAACACCTTATTTCCCTGGGGCTTGTCTGGGAAGGGCATGTATGTCCTTACTTGGCTATCCGTGATTACGCAGAGAGACTTCTCAAGACGATCAACTTTCGGGACGGGATTCGGTTTTATAGGATGGGGCAGAGCGAACGGTGTCGTTTCCTTCCACCACCAGGACTAGTATTGTGCCCCTGCTGCGTGCAGCGACAAGGTGAGCTGGGTTTGGAAGCATCAACGTTACTAGTGATGTGTTTTGGCTCATACACAACTAAGTTTAAACAGTCCGAGTATCGTAGCGAAGGCTCAAGCCGCCTCAATGCCGCCCGTACTTCCGAATGACGATTACATGTCCAACAATGCCGACAGATCCTTAGCTGAGGCACTAGGGGACGTTTAAGATCTTCACAAAAAGAGCGAGGAGGACAAGCGTGAAAAATCGAAAATCAGGGCTACATGCAATCACTGTGGGACGGCGAGCACCACAGGAAAGCTGTCCACTTGCTCCCGCTGCCGGTGGGTGGTGCTCAGTTTCATTGATTAGGCCTGGACTACAACCTCCCTTTGTTCCTAGCTCCGTTCGTTATTGCAATGCCGACTGCCAAAACGCGCATCATTATGCGTCTCACGAACTGGACTGTAAAAATTTCTCGCAGCCTCCCATTACCAGCCTCTTTGACACCAGGACGAGGCCAGGGCTGCAATTCCCCCTCACGCCCGTCTTCGGTGCGGGCGCTCACGCGGATGGAGTCGGCTGCTGGGTCTCTGCAGGAACTAAGATTGATTGCACGTGAGTTTTTCGATGTCTTTCGCCGCGCTTGACTTACAGCGATGCTCTCATAGACTCCAAACGTCACTTTGCCGTACGTTTGCATGCCCAACAGGAAGCTCCTAATCCGTGACGAGAATAAAGTTACAACGGTTGTCAATGGCAAAGGAGCCCTGAATAACCTCCTGACACTCCGCGTCCTCGTGCAGAACAGACGTAGAGATTACTCTCAAGTCTTAATCGGCGGCGCCATGGCGCGCATCATCGGCGCTGTCAACGCCGGTGAACGTTTGCAGAAGTACCAGGTCCATGATTCCGTTCAGCTCCGCCGAATGAACGTTTTGGCTGGGTGAGGTTGAATTGTATCCGCCCTGGCGTCCTTGCTCGACTAATCATACGATGATAGAATAACCTGCCCATATCTGCACGTCTATGTGGATCCATGGGGCGAGCATCGCGCTTCCGTTCTGAGCATCAACGGCGTTGAGGTGCGTGCTCATGCAGCAATAAACATTCCGCGAGCGGCTGCCCATTTCCCCGCGTCCTACCTTATAGTATACGGGCAACTTTGATAGCCCACGCTCGAATGATACGCCGTCTGCGCCCCATCTTCACCAAATCAAACGGCCCAAAGACGCAGTTGTAGCCCTCGGCCACGGGGATTATGCCGTTCTCGAGCTTCAATTCCTCTGCGGGGACGGAGTTAATGTCTATTTTGACTTCCAAGCCCTCCAGCTGGTGGTTGGCGTCTGGCTGCCCTTCGTGAAGTAGGATGGCTCGGAGGATATCGACAGAGCAATCGGGCGGATGCCAGATCGCGGTAACCCCACTGACCTTTCAGATGTCCTTTTTGTGCCCTTCCGTCGTGGCGAGATTGATGCGTACTATGCCGATATCGAACGGGATGGTGTCGACGCGCATGTTCGCTCGCACTATAGCGACAGGCTTGCCGACATCTCGAAAGGGAACGAAGTCTCAGATGCGGTGCAAGAATGGATGATGAAGGATACAAAAGCGACCATTACCAGCAAAGCCCACTTGGACCGTGTCAGAGAACTCGTCGAGAAGGCAGGCTTTCCTGTCGATTGGTTGGATGACTATTTATCGTAAGTCGCATCATTCAATCTAATGCTGCGTTTAATGTAATGTGTGAAAACGATACTGAACCTTGTGACCCAGTAACCATTAAGCCTCCGTGAGTGCGATCTGCGTATGCGGGGCCTGGTTGATGACAGGAAGAGCGCGGTTCTGTCTCACTCCTAAATTTCTCCTTCAATATAAACAAATCTGAATAGAGCACCCCAGCTCTTTTGATTTTTTCAATGAATAAATAGTGGGATAAATGCCAAAAGTACTCAATGATTCGTTCGCCCTGTTTTTGAGCACCTCAGGAATATTGGTACACTGTAGGCTTGTCTTCTACTAAAACTGAGTAAAATAGTTACCACAGAATCTACGCAGTTCTAAGTTCGGCATATACTCGCACTCTGAAAAGCTGACTTGATCATTGGTTCTCCCATATTCGCTTCCTGTCCAGTGGTTCTACGGGGTGGCGGTAAGCTAGGACAAAGTCAACAGCTTCATCAACGTAATTTACCTAAATGCACCCCACTCACGACTGCCTCGCCTTGCTCAAAGGAACCCTTTTGCTGTTAAGACTTCACGGCGCTCATGGGGCAAGGCCGTATAGTTTAGTAGTATAATGCCCGCTTTGGGCTATTGCAATTTGCGGGAGGTCCTGGGTTCAATTCCCAGTGCGGCCCTATCCTTTTGCTCGATCTACATGCACCCTTTTGCAGTTTTACATCTGGAGTTTACTTGTACTTATAGGTACAGGACACTTTAAATTTTGCCAACACCTAAGTGCTCTGATTGCAAAACTTGGTGTTGAGTTTTAGACTCGACCCCTCCACACAGCCACCTACCGATGGCTTCCACTCCTCGATTGTATTTCCATTCTTACCATTGATTCCCAACACATGTCAGAGAGTACATCTCCCCCGCTCTGTTCTCCATTGCAGTACGAAGTTGCATTGGTACTGGTGCTGCGATCTGTCTTAATTCAGTATTATGCTTGGCTTTACTTGCCACGTGCACCTACTCCATCCCACAGAAGCCTCAGCCGTCGCGGGCTCCCTCAATTCTCAAACAATAGTGTATATCTCGGATTGACCTGGAGAATTGTTACAAGTCTGTAGCACAATAGCAACCAGATCGATATCTTCGTTGATTTACTAGATGCCTCCTCGCTTTCTATTAAGTTATGCCCAGCAGCCTGATTCTAATGGCGGTCTCGAGATTAGGCCAAGCTAAACGAAGACCAAGGCCGAGGGGGCATATTTGCCTAGCACGGTAGCAACTCGTGAGCTGATAGCTTCACGGGCCACTAAGTTAAAGGAGTAATAGAGCGCACCTTTTCGTATATCCTTTCGACTGCCTCCATCTGCGCAATGGAATCCTCTGCGGAAATCCATGTCCGGGGTTCACGACCGCGGACGCGATCTACAAATGCTTCGAGCTGGTACCGGTACGTTGTCCACCATACTTCACCGTGCTCCTTGCCATCTTCGTCCTTGAATGTGAACGCGATTTCTGATCGGGTCTGTGCGTTTGCTCCACTCTCCGCTTTCGTAATGACTTGGATAGTGTGCCATAAAGTCGGCACGGCGAAGTTGGAGAGCGTTACGTCTCCTCCTTCCAAATGAACGGCGAGAGAAATTTTGGGCAATTGGGGTATGAGCCCGAAAGGCCCCCATGGCTGAAGCTGTAGGTCCCCCGTTATATCTGCCGTAATTGATTCGGGAAAGGTGAGGACGGCGTGGATAGCCCGGTCGATTGCGGCGGGATTTTGGGGGTGGGGCGTGGGGACAGATGACTCAATTGAAATGGGTTCGGCGGAGAGGAGGTAGCGAATCGCGCTGAGGGGATACACTACAGACCAAAGGATGAAATAAGCACAAAATCTCAAGGAATACTGGTGCATTAGCTTACCCCCTACGTCCATCATCCCACCACCACCCAAATCAAAATCGAGCCGGATATCGCCGTCCTTCACATATCCTTGGACCAAACCCAATATGGCGGAGATGTGCTTGACTTGACCCAATTCGCCGCTATCGATGATATCTTTTACGCGGTGGATAGCAGGGTGAAACCTTTTCGTGCTGCATGTTAGGCGAAATTCCCTACGTTATGCATTAGACACGGATACGCGCGCACCTATAGTGAAATGCTTCCAAAAGTATGAGATTATTGGCTTCCGCGAGCTCAAACATCCGCCGTGTTTCCTCGGCGTGATTGGAACTAGGTTTTTCCAGAAGAACATGCTTTCCAGCGGCAAGAGCACGCATGGTCCATTCGTAGTGAAGGCCGTTAGGAAGAGGGTTGTAGATAGCGTCGATCGTAGGGTCGTCCAGCATCTCTGGATGAGGGAATGAATGGGGCGGGATGTCAGCACTCTTTGTATTGGGAGCCAAGAAGTACAAGGCTCAAAGGAGAGTAGTGCGTACGTTGATAGCCATTGCTTCCTCCAAATACTTTCTCTATGCCATGCCTTTTGGCGAAATCTTGGGCCCTTGACATATCTCGGGCTGCGATGGCTGCCACGACGATGTCCGGGTGCGACATTGCAGGCGTGATGATAGCATCTGGCGCTATGCGAGCGGCTCCGATGATACCAATCCGCAGAGGCGACGCGTTTTTCGGGACAAGTGGTGGTCTTGCCGCCTACGCAAGCATTGGAACGAATTTAGACGGCAAGCAGCAAAATTTAATGGAATGAAGATTTAGACTCGCCTTGAGATTACGCGTAATGAAATCCATGGTTAATCCTGCTTGTTCGTTGGAGATGCTAATCGGGAAGTCAGAAAGCTAAGAGTAGTGTGTGATGCACCCCGACGGCGAAAAGCAGCGCCATTTTATGCGCCCACAGATTAGACGCTGTCCCCCTCGGTTCAAGTGAGTTTCAGTAGCATTGCGGTAGCACTGTACCACTTTAGTCTAGGATGCCGGTGGTGTAAGCGCCAGGGCGTGGCCGACCGACGCGTGGGGCGCGCACGACAGCCGCGTCCTAAAACGGAGGCAATTACGCCCGCGATGGCATAAACATGGCCGCAGCTAGTTGATCTGCGATTGTATCATTAATATTGTCCGTATAAAGAGAGTGGTGCCCTTGGGAAGTGGGTTTCTTGAAAATCGCGAAGCGACGAAGTTGTGTAAAGGTAAGTACAGTCCACGGAGTGTGGGATTATTCTATCTGAAAGATGGTGGGCGCTCTAAGTTCTGAAACGGGGTATAATCGCGACCAACACGGGCAGGAGATTATTGTGATGGCTCGGGCACCATGAACCCAATCATACACCCATCAAGCATATAATCCAGGTTGACCCAAGAGTGGGTGAGCGCTTGAAAGGCCATAGGGTGTGAGCCTGATATTAGCCGAACAATGAAGCCGGGCTCACCAAAAAGTTTGCTACCATCACGACCTGCACAACGCATGAGCTCCTTCTGACCGCCCGGATGAAACGATAGATAAGGTGTGATATTGTAGACCTTCCCGTTGAAAGAAGACCAAGCGTCTTCGGGGGTGTTGTGTTTCTTGAGCTCCGAGGGAGTAACTCGTTGGAGCGACGTGAAGCCCTGTTCAGTCCATACGCCAGCGATCAGAGGATGGAAGTCAAGATAGCATACAAAAGGAACTGACATTTCTGAGAGAGGCACCAGATGACTTGAGGCGCGCCCAATCTAAGGGACTGTGCCCAGGTGTAAGCGCGACTTTGTCGCGCGCCTTAGCCTTGCGGTTTACTTTGGGCATAGGTTTGGTAGTGGTGGGAGGGGGTGTAAGTGTGAAGGAGGGCGACTGGGGTGAAGATGGCGATCCACGCCCGAATGCGGGGGGTGGCATGCGTGCCGAATCTGACGACAACGCTGCGGGATGATCGGAGCGCTGTATGCTGTTGAGAGATGGGAACGCGGGTGGTGCATCGTCGTCCTCGTCTCGGTCTTTCCCGCCAACCGTCCCTTCCGAGTCGGATGCCGGAGGTGAGGGCTCAGAGATAGAAAACGACACATCTGCGTCCACAGGAGTCACCGCACGGGGTACCGGAGATGGTGACCGAAAAAAGGAGCGTATGTAGGAAGCCATCTGCTTATTGCAATGTATCAATGCTAAAAGGCGCGCTCCTTGACTTTGAAAAACAAAAGATTGTGAGCTGGCGTTGGATGGATGGTGGGTGGTTGGAACAAGGATGGAGATGGAATGCGAACACGCGGCGCTGGAGGGGATGAATGATTATGTAATTCACCCCGAGTGGCTATTAATATGCCCCAACTAAGCAAGGTGGTCCTAACGTCCAACTTCAGTCTGGATCGTCTCTTGGCCTCCTACACCTTTATGCGTAAGCTCAGCTCTCACCGTGGCCCAGGGACTACTAGCGGCCCCATCGTAGATTTTTTTCTAACTAGAGGATAAATGGATAAATGAGCCAAGAGGCACCTCAGGAATTTACTTGCTTGGTTGCCACTCTCTAGGCTCAGATCAGCTGTATCAGCAGCCGGCACTCTTCCCGGGACCTAAAGACTTCGCGAAATTGTAAAGGCCCAATCTGTTGTCACCATGCGAAGATATTGGACAGCGCCAATAAATTTTCGACCTGAGAAAGCTACAATCACCAATAAGGGGACCAGATATACTTAGCCTCGGCGGGACTGGCGATCGAAAAAGACTGCACCATGGGTTGCTTTCTTATATAACAATAGTGCCGGAACTATTGCGCCGGATGATGAATCCCAATTCAAACTTCTTGCGGTCGCCACAATTCATCATCATGCACAATCCCGAAGTCGCTCTCAACCTCGGAAAGCTCAACACCTGTACTTACTCCCATTGGGAGCATGCAGGTAAGCACCTTATATGCGGCCAAAAGATATGGTCATTACTTACTCCGACTCGGCTATCCCTTAGCGCTATGGCGCACCTTAGACCCCACTTTGAAACTCGGCATTCCGACATTCAATTAAACCCGTACATCTATCCGAATCTGCGGATTGGCGACTCCCCGACGCCTGCGCATCGGCCATCAGACTCCCAGCTGTTTCAAGCAATGTACTTGGAGTTGTTCTCTGTCGTTCTTCTCAGCTTTTCTTCTTTCTTCTCACGGTCCGGGTATGGCTTATAGAGCGCGCAGACCCTCAAAGGCGACAACCGTCAGAGACTGTAGGAGGGTGGCTCATGGTAGAGATATGTGTCTCTACGACTTTCCGGATGACAGTCCGGGGATGCATCCTGCGACGCGTGCTACGACTTTCGCGCCCTGACTTCAAATATTGGCATCTCACTCCTTTCCGTGCCCAGTTGGGTCCCCGTCTTGCGATACAACTTGCTCCCTGGCGTAGCGGCACAGGTTATATATCTCTCCGAGGCTTGTCCTGGTCGTTGAATACGCAACTCTAGGCGGGATATGGCTCTCGCTGTGCATGCACCTCGGCCTATGATTCGCATAATTGTAGCATCAAGAAAAAAATATCCGTGCGGACCATCTAGCAATCGGGATCGGGAAATCAAAAGGCGTAGGGAAAAATCTTGGGCGATTCGATTTTCTAGGCTGCCATGAGCATCGTGAACACCGGTAGTGCACCTGGAGACCCGCCGCCAAGCAGCGATGATTTGCAGGCACCGCATCGCCACCATCAAAGTACCTGTGGCTTCCCGATTTGGATACTAACCTGTGAGCTTCCGACCCTTTCCCACTCATCCACGCTACAT